CCTGGCCTGATTGCCCCTAACCTCCTCTCCCTCGGCCCCACCACCATGGCTTTGTCCAGAAGGATGTCCGGAAGTCTCCTGGTCTAATTAGCATATTACCCTTTTATTAGTATAGATTATTGACTATATTCCTTTGCTATATTTTACATCCCCCATCACTTCTCAGTCTTTTGGCTAAGATCAAATGTACTTTACATCCCTGTGATTATTTTGTAACTACCAATTTGTACTTCTCAATCCTTTCACCTTTTTCACCCAGTTCCCCAACCCCATGCCCCTCTGACAACCATCAGTCTGTCCTGTGAGAGTTTTTGTCTAGTGTAATAAACAAGTTTTTCATGAATATTCTTACAAGTTTCTTCATATTTTTATTTTACAGATGTCCTGTTTTTATTTTGTGAAGAGTTTAACATCTGCCTGTCTAAATATGTACAGTATATCACGGTAAGTTTATCATTTGTATTGCAACTACCAAAATTATTAGCCATATTGCCAGTAAATTTCTATTCAAAATTTGGTGGTCTAGTCCAACAAATTGAATTTGTTGTTTGAATAACTGCTATAATATCTATCTGCCCTGTGTGATCTCTCCCTTTTCAAAAAAAATGGGAATATAATAAAACTTAAACTCAACTCAGAACACAAGGAACATGGTTTAGTCTTTCTTTGATTTTGTGGGTTCTCCAGGTCCTGGTTATAAAAATAAACATAAACAGTACTATTGTTTAGCAAGAACAGAATTCTGTATGTTTTTCTAAATTACAATGACCCTTTTAGATTAATGCTTAATTTCTAGCAAGTATCTGGGCTTAAGTTTTCTATCATCTGAATATTATATATATCTGCATATGCAAATGTGTGTATAATTCTTATAAAATAACACTCAAACTTACATTTTGTGCATTTGTGCTTGTCCCAGGCTCCATCACACAACATCGGCCGTGTTCTGTTACAGTAAACCTCAGAGCGGTGAGAAATACACCGATCCCTTTCAGCTTGGTAGGAGATATTTGAAAGGTCTGTATGAGGACATTAGGAAGGTAAGACAGTTCTGATGATGCTGTGAAGTATGTTGAGCTTTTAGAATTATGAAAACAGGACGCAGGTTTCAGATATGTACAGAGCCATTGCAGACTTCATAAGTCAGGTTTCAGAAGTTTCTTGAGCAACAGCCGTGGGGCAATATGGAGGACCGAACACGTTACCTCCAGAAAGAGGTTGTTGCAGAGTTTGGTACCTGAAGAAAATGGTACAGGTAGCACCTACCTGTCCAGTGGGCTGTCTGACATTTTCTCTCCAATTCCATCCCCTATTCCACCCCTGTTGAAGCACTGAAGCCTCAGTGGCTGCTGTCGTCTCCCTTATCTGGTCCTGAATGTCAGTGCCGGACTGCTTTCATCATTAAGTGCTCTCCTCCCAAACCGTTCCAGTGGTGCCCAGCCTCACTGTATCCCAAACGCTGCCAGAAATGTCCACATGCCGCTCGTCAGCTTCCTTCCCCTCTCGATCCTCCTCAAGCTCCACCCCACTCGGCAGTTTTCACAGCAGCACCACTTCCTACGTGACAGGCCACGCAGAGCCCCTGAAGGAGGCTCTCCCTCAGTGCCTGCTCTGTCACCGTACAAGCTCTTTTGTGCCGTCGACTGACGGGAACGTCCCTTCCTTTCCAGGATAGTCCCCTTACCTCTAGTTAAGCTTCATCCCCAGCACCTGGGGCACTGCTCCCACAGTGGCCTGTTCTCCTTGGCCTGCAGACTCTCGCTCTTTGTGTCTCTTTCCTATGCCTTTTAGGGGCTCCAATTTGTTCATGTTCGTCTTTTTTTTTTTCAGAGAGGAAGGGAGTGGGAGAGAAAGATAGAAACATCAATGAGAGAATCATTGATCAGCTGTCTCCTGCACGCCCCCTACAGGGGATTGAGCCTGCAACCTGCGCGTGGCCCTTGACCGGAATCGAACTGGGGACCTTTCAGTCAACAGGTCTGCGTTCTATCCACCGAGCCAAACCAGCTAGGGCTGTCTTTTTGTTTTGTTTTGTTTTGTTTTTAACATTTTTATTGATTTCAGAGAGGAAGGATGGTGAGGGAGAGATAGAAACATCAATGATGAGCAGCTAGGGCTCATGTTTGTCTTTTAAAGGACCATTCCTTGACCCGGTGTCCTACCTCTTCCCTTCCATCACAGTATGCTCTTCCTCTGTCTCTATTTTGCCCCTTCACATTCACTCCACCATCACACTAGGGCTTTCTTTCCAGCCTCTTCTCAGAACCTGCCTTTGCCTGGGTCTTCAATAGCTTCCTTCTAATAAACCCAGTGGACACTTCAGTTTTTATCATCCTTGACTTTTTTGAACATTGATCACTGTGGACCACTCCCACTCCATGACACTTTTCCCCTGGCCTTGTTCTGATTCTTAGACCATTCTTCAGCCTGCTTCCTCCTCTGTTGGCCCCTCCTCTGTGTCCTCAGTCTACCTGTTCCCATTGCTTACGACTCCCAAGAAATACCTCTATTCCAGATTGAATCATTGGTTTGAAACCCGTACATCTAACATCTAACTGCTCACTGGCAGCTCCATGTAGTGTCCATGACTATCTCAAATTTAACATATGTGAATCTCTGCTTTTCCCTCCTGTCTTTTCTCCTGTTTTTCCCAGGATCCCCAGAAGGATCCTCCACTCATCCATCTCTTTCCCCCTCCACATCCCCTGGTCCAAGCCTGTCAAACTCAAAGGCTAACACAGGCCAAATAAGGTTTAAGTTTATGTGGGCCGCAAGAAAACAAAAGCTTCATTTTTCATAGAAACATAGGTTTATTTTGATAGAGACATGCTGAATACAAAGGGCTTAAATAAATGAGTAATCGTTAACATAAAACAATAAAACATTTTAATAAAAATTAATATTTTTTTCTTGAACATTAACTTACCAGACACTGAATAACTGCACAAATTAATAAGCGTAACGCAAATAAACCTATTTTTCTTGTTCTCCGAAAGCGAAATATTTCCTGTTGCGCACACCAAACAAGTCAGTCCAAGACTAATGATGTGGCAATCAGCTGCTGAAATACTTGCTGCTAGTATTAGTGGAGAGAAATGGTGAGCCTGCGTGTAAGGTGCGAAAGGGAAATGAATGCAACACAATTATAGTAACCAGTCATTAGCAAACATTGTAGTTCATTATTAATAATTGTGTATAACAGGATACTGTAAAAATTAAGTTACAAATTTTTTTGTGAACCATTTCTTACATCCCATTGTATTGACTGGGCCGCAGAAATATTCACTGTGGACCACATGTGGCCCGCGGGCCGAGAGTTTGACATGCTTGCCCTGGTCTGTCTCTTGCTTTCAGTCCCACTGCCTTAGGTTAGGCACCCCCATCTGTTGCTATCATCCTTGCTGACCCCCTCCCTCTTTCACTCAGAGCCAGCTAATATCTCCATCTACTCATATTTCCACCTGAACTCATATCTCCAGCAGAATTTAAGGAAATGTACGAATATTACTTTGATGGAAAAGGAAAAGCCTTTTGAACAATGATCATCATGCTAATTAATGGCCCAAGCGTGTAATAATGGCCAGAGGTGCCTCCTATGTGATCCCAGGGTAACTGCGCTTATCTCAGGGACAGCACCCGTCCCGCTATTGTGTTTTATTGCAGTTATTGTTTTATTACTTCTCCCCATCTAGACTCTGAGCTCCTGTAGGCAAGGGGCTGTCTTATTTATCTTTGTAACCTCTACATTTATTACCATTCTTGGCACTCAGTCTATAATTTAGTGAGTTAATGACTAACCTGCTGTATGATTTCTCCTGTGCCTAGGAGGGTCCATTCCTTTGTGTGTGTGTGTGTGTGTGTGTGTGTGTCCGTCTTGTTTTGTTTTTGTTAATCCTCACCTGAGGATATCTTTTCCATTGATTTTTAGAGAGAGTAGATGGGAGGGAAAGAAGAAGTGAAACATTGATGTGAGGCACATTGGTTGCCTCCTGCACTTGCCTTGACTAGGGATGGAATCTACAACTGAGGTACATGCACTTGACCCTGAATCAAACCTGCAACCCTTGGGTGCACAAGCCAACACTCTAACCACTTAACAACACCGGCCAGGACTCTGGGTCCATTTTTAGCTCCCACTGCCTCTGGGGGATCAGCTGTGATTAATTCCAGCAAGCCCTTGCACAGCAGGTGAAACACAAACACCTCCATCACTTGGAAGGAGCTCTCCTCTTCACAAATCAAAGACCTACTTATCCTTAATCCCAGGTCAAAGCTGATCTCCTCCAGGAAATGTTTAGTTTTTTTTAGCCTACACTGCTCTCTCCTACTTTGAACTTATAATGTATTTAATGTACAGCATTATTCAAGATATGACCGCATTATTTACTGAATATTTCTTTTTTTAAATAGTTGGTTAGCCCTAGCTGGTGCTCAGTGGTTAGAGCATTGATCGTGGAGAAGGGTCATGGGCTCGATTCTGGTCAAGGGCATGTATGTACCTCGGTTGCAGTCTCAATTCCCAGCAGGTTGGTGAGCATGGGGCGCATGCAAGAAGCAACCAATCGATGTGTCTCTCTCACATTGATATTTCTCTCTGACTCTCCCCCTCCTTTCCACTCAATGGAAAAATATACTCAGGTGAGGGTTAACAAAAACAAACAACAAAAAACAGTTGGTTAGAATGTCCCGATACGCCAAGGTTGCGGGTTCCATCCCAGGTCAGGGCACATACAAGAATCAACCAATGAATGCGTAAGTAAGTGGAACAACGAATCAATGTTGTTCTCTCTCTCCAAGATCAGTTTAAAAAAAGAAAAAAAAGTTTTGTCTCCCCAACTCATTTGTAAGCTCCTCTCATCAGACAAACCACGTCTTACACTTCCCTTTTGAATTTACCGCTGCTGCTTCTCCCCGGCCACCATCTTACCTTCTGCCCGATGCGCAGTTTCTCCCTCCCAGGACAGCCCTGACCTGCTTCATGGCTCCCCACAGCCACTGGCTCCCAAACTCCCTGACTTTGTCCCCTCCTCTCCCTCTTCCACACTGCTAGCCAGTCCCTGCCCCCTTCTCCAGCTGTCACTGGGCTGGGCTGGGTCACTCAGAGCTTTCCTCCCCTTCCTGCTGCCTCTCAGAGTCACTGGAGGCAACGCCTGCTCTCGCACTTATGCCACTTGGAGTCAAGCCAGGCATTGCTTGTTGCCCAGTCACAGGGCAGCCAGGGTTTTGGCCATACCATTGAGGAACCTTTTCCAACTGAGTGTTGAATTTCTCAATTAAGATGAATACACAGAAATCAAATCCAAGTTTTGTAAAAGAAATCCTGTTGACTTTCTATGCAGTTATGATGCCATATTGACACACAGACTCTTTATTTCAGGAACTGCTCATATCTCCAATAGAACTTAAGGAGATGTCTGAGTACTACTTCGATGGAAAAGGAAAAGCCTTTCGACCAGTTATCGTGGTGCTAATGGCCCGAGCGTGTAATAGCCATTATAACAACTCCCGGTGAGTCTTTACTTCTGCTGCTCTGTCCTCTTATATTTGGCAGGTCTTCCTTCCCAAGGTCACCGTTTAGCTTCCTGTTTAAGGTGTACCATGCATCTAAGAATCCACTTGATGATGACTCGATTCTGACTAGGAGCCACTAAGTCACTCTGGAATCTGGTCTGGGCACCTTCCTTTTCCACCTTTTTCATGTCCATGGAAGAACGACTTCAGCTGTAAATAAGCATTTTAGAAGAAGCCTAAAACTCAAATTTAGTTTTCCTTTTTCAGAAGTAGAGACTACCAGGATGTATGTGTACATGTAATCATTGTCCACACGGGCCAGTTAGTCCAAAGGTTGATGGGTATGAAGTGATAAGCTTTGCCAAGATTCTGGGCACCACACCCCCTGCAGCGCCTGCCTGTCTGGGCTTAAAAAAGGCATTTTGCTTTCGTGTTTCGAATATATTTAAGATTTTAAAATATGAAAACAACAGCAACATTTAGTATTAAAGGAAGTCTTAAAAGGAAAGAGGATGTACCCATATTACCAAATGCAGCCGTCTTTATCATTCCCTCTGCCCCGCCCTCTTCCTGTCAGTCCCACAGTATGCAAATAATTTTGAGTTCTGCTTTGTTTCCTTACCAATCTTTTTTTAAAGTCTTCATCATGGTGCCGGAGTGTTTTCTTAGTTGTTATTTTTACATCATGTATTCTATTGATGGAAATTCCAGTAGACCATAATGTACTTATACATTTCCCTAGGGTCGAACATTTGTAGTATAGTCCCTTTCCTCAACACATTATTTTTTCTGATTTTTTTCACATTTTTTTATTGTGGTAAAATACATACATTGTAAAATTTACCATCTTCAAGTGTTTTTTATTTGTTTGAATATTTATAGTGCGTTTATTAATCAGGTAGGTGGCAATCTGAGAGAACGGCAGATGTAAAACTCTGAAAATGCCACTCTTGACATTTCATTGCAAACAAGCTCTTATATAGGATGTGTGTTTTGGGGGGGCGGGGGGATCTAATGTTAGTGAGTTGCCAGGATCTGCCTTCTTTTTTTTTATATTTTATTTTTTAAAATCTTTATTGTTGAAAATATTTCATAGATCCTCCTTTTCCCCCCATTAACTTAACCTCTTCCAGCCCGCTCACATCCTCCCTCCCCAGGCCCTTACCACCCCATTGTCTGTGTCCGCAAGTTATGCCTATATGCATACAAGTTCATTGGTTCAACATACATTTTAAAGAATGCCTTTGTCAGCACTAAATTTAAGGATGCTGTAAGAGTGAGCATCAGATGTTGCTTCTTAGCAGGTGCTCCCCTCTGCCCACCACAGCTTTGGTGCCCTGCTGCTGCACCGTTGCAGCTCCAACACAGCACACAGTGCTCAAGGGTGCCTCCCAGTCACCCTGAGACTTTCGGCGAGCCCCCAGGATGGTTTGAACAAGCAGTGAAATCTCTGGCAGTGACCTTTTAACCATCATCCGCCCATTTCCAATTCACTTAGAAGGCAGAACCACAGCAGTGCTCCCTCCGAGCCAGACTCGAAGTGCATCGCGTGTGGTCTAGACTCTAGAGCAGGTTTCTCAGCATTGGCCCGGCTGGGGTTTTGGGCCACCTTATTTGTAGAGGGAGGGGTTGTCAATGTGCATGGACCTAAGGTGTAGCACACAGTGGCACCCCTGGTCTCTACTCACAGGTGCCAATGTGCCCCCTCCCCCGAGCTGAGGACAGCCCACAGTGTCTCCAGACATTGCCACATGTTCCCTGGGGAACAAAACCGTCCCTGGTTAAGAACAACTCATCTAGGGAAATGTGTGTTTATATTTTTTATTTCTCAGATTAATACTCAATACAGTTCATTACCCTCAGAGAGAACACGAACAGGAAAATAGTCTGCACTGCTCTACCTCCTGTCAGCTGTTATCCCCGCAGGTGAAAGTTTTCTCAGCTTCCTTTACTAAACTATATAAACTGTTGGTTGCAGGAAACATGGGAGAACATAACAGAAGGCATTGCTAGTTTAAAAAGTAAGTTCAAGACTGCCCTCTCCAGGAATGTCTTAGCTGCAGTGTCATTCTCCCCTTAGGTGATCAGAGCAGGGCTTGCCGAAGGCACGGGGCAGAGGCCCACGTCTGGCGCTAGGCTGTGAGCCATGAGGGAGGCGTGCATTTGGATAGTACAGTATCCCAGCTACATTATTCTCCAAGCCCCAAATCCTTGAGAATAAGGACCCTTCCTAAAGTGCCCCCCCCGCCCCCCCTTGAAGGACTCTTGTAGATGAGGCTCTTACTGAGCTCAATATCTAGCTGTTAGTTCCATGACACTTAAAGCAGAGAGGAGTTTGGGGAGAACCGGAGAGCTGGGCCTGGTGTGGTTTTGCTTGCTGAGAAAGATGGATCTGACAGAGCAGACCAGAAGGAAAAGAACACGTTCCACAGTCTCAGTAGTTCAAGGACCCAGACTTGGAGCAAGTCAATTCAGTAGCAGATAAAGGTAGTCTGTATGGATATATGATTAGCATACTGAAAACTTGAACTCATGTGTCTTTATCAAGGATTTAGGAAATGCAGCTCACATCCTGAGAGTTGTGTAAAGACGGAGACTTCATTTGTATTTTAAATAGTGAGTTTGTTCAGAACCAAACTGATGAGATTCTAATCATATCTTTAAAACTCCTAGTGACGCAGAGGATGAGAGGAAAGAAGGGTCTCCCTCCCATGATTGTTTTTCAGAGCAGGAGCCTCTCTGCTCTCGAGCTGTGAGGAGACTTGGGAAGTCCTTAGCACAGGACCTCTGAACTGATGCCCCAAGGTTCAGGTCACCCATAGGGATAGGACAGACTCTCATCCCACTTTCCCACAATTTATAGGTGGTGCTGCAGTGGGTCAGCAAAGGTTGAGCCTCTACCAAAACCTTTAAGAGAGCTTCCATTTGGCTTACAGAAAATTAAATTATTACTCCCACTAGACCAGTGGTTCTCAACCTTCCTAATGCCACAACCCTTTAATACAGTTCCTCATGTTGTGGTGACCCCCAATTTCATTGTTACAAATTGAACATAATTAAAGCATAGTGATTAATCACAAAAACAATATGTAATTATATATGTGTTTTCCAATGGTCTTAGGTGACCCCTGTGAAAGGGTCGTTCGACCCCCAAAGGGGTCGCAACCCATAGGTTGAGAACCGCTGCACTAGACAGAGGTGTGTTCCCCAAACTTTGTGCATCAGAATCTCCTGACATGCTTTTTAAAAATGCAGTTCCTGTGCCCCACCATGAGAGATTGTGATTCAGTGTCTGAGGCCTCCGCCTGCATTTTAAAGAGTATTGATTCCCAAATGGTGGACCAGGGATAGATATTTAAGAAACAGTGAGCTTGTCAAAGTTCTAACAAGCCAAGTGAAACACCAATTTTTAGAATTGTCAGGAGAGACAAAGAGAAGAACATTTTAAAACAGAACTAGAGCCTTTTGTATGCCACTTGAGAACTCTGTGTACAGCCTCTAGATTTGGGAATAGCAGCTCTTTAGGTCTCTATTGTTAAAGTGAAACCAGATTTACTATTTTAATTTATTTGCTTCCCTACTTTGCTCCAAACCAACATAATACATTGCCAAGGTTTGATATTTCTTTTTATAGACAATTTTTCCTCATTGGGGGTTTACTTGTAATTTGTTTCAGACTTCACATTATATATTAGTATGAATAGAGGAAAACAGTTTTTTTAAATCACAAGGAAGCTGGATGGAGTGTGTGTGGGAGGTCATTATTACTAGAGGCCCGATGCATGAAATTCATGCACTCGGGGTTCCTCAGCCTGGCCTGCACCCTCTCACAGTCTGGGACCCCTTGGGGGACGTCAGCCTGCTGGCTTAGACCCAATCCCCCCCTAAACCAGTCTTCAGACATCCCTCTCACAGTCCGGGGCTCTCGCAGTCCGGGACTCCTCGCTCCTTACCTCCGCTGCGCTCACCAGCCATGAGCCCAACTTCTGGCTGAGCGGTGCTCTCCGCTGGTGAGCGCAGCAGCAGTGGTGGGAGCCTGTCCGCCTCTGAGGCAGCGCTGAGGAGCAGCCAGCCCAGCTTCTGGCTGAGCAGCACTCCCCCTGTGGGAGCACACTGACCACCAAGGGGCAGCTCCTGCATTGAGCGTCTGCCCCCTGGTGGTCAGTGTGTGTCATAGCGGGCAGTCTTTCTGCTGTTCAGTCAATTTGCATATTAGGGTTTTATTATATAGGACTAGAGGTTCGGTGCACAAAAATTTGTGCACTCAGGGGGTAGAGGGGGTCCCTCAGCCCATCCTGTGCACTCTCGCAGTCTGGGACCCCTCAGGAGATAACGACCTGCTGGCTTATGCCTGCTCCCGGGTGGCAGAGGGCAGGCCCAATCCCTAGGTGCAGCCCCTGGTCGGGCTCAGAGCAGGGCCGATTGGGGAGTTGGGGCGCCGCCACCTGTCATGCACAGAGCAGGGCGGATCGGGAGGTTGCAATGCCACCCCTAGTCACGCTCAGGGTACAGCCGATTGGGGGGTTGGGGCACCGCCCCCTGTCACACTCAAGGCAGGGTCAATAGGGAAGTTGCGGCGCCACCCCCTGTCACACACAGAGCAGGGCCCATCAGGGGGGTTGGGGCTCCGTACCCTGTCACACACAGAGCAGGGCCCATGGGGGGGGGGGGGCAGTTGGGGCGCCGCACCCTGTCACACACAGAGCAGGGCCGATCAGGGGGTTGAGGAGCTCACCCCTGTCACGCACAGAGTAGGGCCAATAGGGGAGTTGGGGCATCGCCCCCTGTCATACACAGAGCAGGGCGGATCAGGGGGTTGAGGAGCTCCCCCCTGTCACGCACAGAGCAGGGCCCATCAGGGCGGTTGGGGCTCTGTACCCTGTCACACACAGAGCAGGGCCCATCAGGGGGGTTGGGGCTCCGTACCCTGTCACACACAGAGCAGGGCCCGTGGCGGGGGTGGGGGGAGTTGGGGCGCCGCACCCTGTCACACACAG